ACATGATGACTGAATTCAACGTGCCTTCCTAGACAGCATCCTGGAAAAGAAAAAGGACTGGACATTAGGTAGGAGAGATGGCCATCAGGTGGAAATAAAGGAAGTCTGACAAAGAAAGGACGTTAGTTAACAATAAGGTATCATTATGGATTCATTAACTGTGACAAAGGAGACAACTAATGTTAGAGGCTAGTAATAGGGGAAACTGGGCCTGGGGTTTATGGAAATTGTACTGTTTTTATAATTCTCTGAAAAACAAAAGCTATTCAAATAAGAAATTTATTTATTTTTTTGTAAAAAAATAAGTCAAAGCTATTACACTCAGCAATAACCAGTGCTATGTGGATAGTCAAGGAAATGTCAAAATACTGCTAAGGAACTATGGGAAAATTAGCAGAACATACAAAGGAAACAGAAGTTTTTAATCTAGGTAAGATAAAAATTAAAAGATGGTTTAAGTATAGTTGTATATATTTTTCATTAATGATAAATATGGAAAACCACAAGATAGCAGAAAGGGGAGATAAAAGCTTTCACAACTCCATCTAGAACAACTATTATTAGGAATTTTTTTCATTTTTTAAAATATGTCCCTATTTTTTGTGGGTTTTCCATGGTTATAATCATACTTGACATTCATTGTAATCTCTTGGACATTTTTGCCTCCCTTCACTGAAGATAAATCTCACATAGTCCAAGTCAATTGGCCTCAATGTTCATTATGAAAAAAAATTGGTTTCAGTGAAAGGGAGCCATATGACTTCTCAAGACTATAGGTGATAAAACCTAGAATCTGCTATTTATCTAGGACACGGTGCAGAGTCGGAGCAGATACATATGATATTATATGGGAACTCAATAGTCTATCTCTTGATTTCACTGTGGAGATGGTATGATATTTAAGAAACTAAACAGAAAGTGGGGGGAAGCCCTCTGGCAGGCAAGAGTCACAGAAATAAGAAGTAGGGTACTGAGAACACTGAAGACGGCAAGTGGGCTTGAGGGATTTGGAAAGGGCATGTGTCTATTTCAGATGTGAAAATCTATACAATGGTGATGAAACTGAAGAGCGTGAGGGGAAATCTATTTTGTACCTGTGTGGTGTGTGAATTTGACATCAGAAGGGAGAATGTGTTGAGAGTAAATGGCAAGAAGTATTAACACTATTAAAATTCCTGTAGTCTCCTCTGGGTAGGAGCTTTATTCAAGACAATATTTTTTCTTAAGATTTGATAAGATGGCTATTTTCCTAGTCAAAAAATTTGATGTCTGAAATTCTAAGAGTGAGACCAGAAACAGTAAACATTCTTGAGCACAAACTGCCACCCAGTGGATGAATGTGCATGATGCAAAAAGCATTTGCAAAGGAAAAGACAAAGGAAGACAGCAGGGGGTTGCCTCCATGATGTGAGGTTGATCCAAAACTGATTATGCCACTCAGAATGGCAGGCCAGGTTTTACTACATGATTTCAAAGTATCCAGATAAACATTATCAGAGGCTTCATTAAATATTAAAGTCTCATTGATGCTAATCAAACTTACGCCCATGAATTTCCAATAAGACAAGTCAAAGTTACTTATCTTATAACAGGGCATAAAGAGAGTTGTCAAGGCATAGATTTGAGGTTCAAGTCATAATCCTTCAGGTACTGAGATCTCTGACATAAAGTCTGAGATGAATTACATTTTGGGCATAGTCATTTAAATATTCCTACATCTAAATGCAAAATAAAGATTTATAGTGGGAATATATAAAGACAACGGATGGAAGCTGGACCATTCAAATAAGCAGTGAGGCCATGTTTACCTGGGGATTTCCTGATGGTTCAACTGAGAGGGACAAAGCAATATTTTTCTTTTGGGGGTAACCCCACAAGAGTCATCTGGTATTCTGTAGACAAGTCGAAACCTATTCACTGTGTTATTTAAACAAGAAGGAAACATTATATGGGATTGGAATGACATTGAAGGTCCAAGGAAATCATCTTGTCTGAGACTTGAATTTTTTCTAATATTCAGCATCCTCACAAAAATGTTTACCTATCCACCTCCAAGTAGAGAACTGCCAACTGATATACTTATTCATCATCAGGCCTGGGATTTATTGACTTTGCTCTACTTACAAGATAATAAAGTAGCCTATCATGGCTTCACGGATATTGGCAGAAGACAAGAGATATCTGTCTTAAACTTCATTGTTCACCACTGTGGAGCAGCATGAACACCAGGTTTGAATTGGTTTCCCTAATCGCCCAAGCCTTACAGCAAGCAGAACAATGCAGGAGCCTAGATATATCCTATGCACAATTATTTGTTTCCTAGGTTGAGAATACTTAGTCTGGGGAATCCACCATTTTTTATAACAAATGGGAAGCAAGCTAGCTCATTTTTCCCAAGTAGGACCTAATATAACTCAAGGTTGCTTGCTGAAAAATTGCTTGTATAAAGAGCAATCAGGGATTTGCATTCTTGGTATAACCAGTAAAAATGTGCTAGGGTGCTTAAGCCTCATTAGTGATTGCCTTTCCCAATATTCTTACCAATTTTCTGATGATTCCCACTAGTTTTGGTGTTTTTCTAACACTTGAGCATTTTCTATTTCAAATACATGCTGGGTTTTATCCTCTTGTCACTGAGACTTCTTTTCTCCAAGCTGATCATTTCTAACCCCATTCCTCCATTGACCATATCTGATTCTGTGTGCCCTCACCTTTAGAATTGCTTTCCTCTGAACTTGTTTAAGAGTTACTTTCCCAAATGGACTATGATACTCCCAATGATGGTACAATACCTTTAGAGCAGACTAGAAAAAGTACTTTTATTTTAGAAATATACTTCTTAATTTTTTTATTTTTAGCAAACTATGCTTCGGTGAGCTTTCTTGGCAGCTCTGTTTGTTCCCAAAGCAAAATTTTGTTTTTACCATAAACTGCCACTAAGTCATATACTTCTCTATTCCTATGGCAGAGAATGGAAACTCCATGTAGTGTTTTATCAAAAGAATTATTATGCAAAAGGGATTCCATTCATCACAGTAAAAAGT